AGATCTTCTTTTTGTAAACTTTATGTGCCTTTGTGGTTTACTTATTGGGCATAAAAAGCTGGTTGGTCTAGGCTTCAGGTTCTCTCTTTTGATTTTATATTGGAGTGGCCTAATTGCTTTTTTCTTAAGGAGTTCCCACCGAGTCCCATGTGAGATGAGGCTCAGGTGATATCAGGCTTTCTCCTGTGGTATGGGTCCTCCAGGAAAGATGCTGCCCTCAAGAATTTGGGGGCTGGGCTGGGCTGGGAGAAGGGCCCAGGTCTCAGGAAGCAGGTGGCTGTGCCACCCAGGGAAGTAAAGGGAGGTGAGGGCAGGACCAGGACCAGAGGTTTCCTAGGGGTGGTAGGGAGGAACTGGGTCGGTTGGGATACAGAGGATCAGGAAGAAGTGGTGGCTCTGGGCCCGGAAGTTGGCCCTGGTGTCTGGGGTGCCAAGACAAGAAATGGGCCTGTACCCAGCCTAGGAGGAGAGACTCACCAGGGAGCTGGGAGGGTGAAAGTGGCTGGGGGAGTCAAGGTGCCCTGGGCATGCTGGATTTACCCAGGGAAGGTGCTGGGACCAGGACGTAGGAGGCTTTGCAGCCCAGGGAAGTAAAGGGAGGTGAGGGTGGGACCAGGCCTAGAGGGTTCCTGGGGGCCGGCAGGGAGGAACTGGATTGGCTTGGATGCAAAGGATCAGGAAGCAGTGGAGGCTCTGGGCCGAGAGTTTAGCCCTGGTGTCTGGGGTGCCCAGACAAGAAATGGGCCTGTACCCAGAGAGACTTTGGCGGGGTGAAAGAGGCTGGGAGAGTCAAGGCACACTGTGTGAGCTGAACTTACCCAGGGAAGGTGCTGGTACCAGTACACTGGAGGCTGTGCAGCCCAAGAAGCAAAGGGATATGAGGGCGGGACCTGGTCCAGAGGGCTCCTAGGGACCAGGAAAAGTGCTGGCACCAGGCCGCCCAGAGGCTTTGCAGCCCAAGGAAGTAAAGGGAGGTGAGCAAGATCAACATTTTGATGTGAGAAGAGGAAGAAGTGGGGCAAGAAAGACTGGACAAAAAGATAGGAGGAACGTTGGGTGAGCATGGTACCCTGGAGACAAAGAAGGAAGCCCCACAGTCCAGCTTTGGTCCACATCAGATCAACTTGTTTCATTCTCCTTTTAAACATTTTAACCTGGTTGAGAACACTTTTTCTATCTGATGTACTTGGATATATTTGTGTAGAAGTCACAGCCACAATTTTAAATGTGGCTTAGGCTCCCAGTACAGGGGTCTGTCTTATAAAAATGTATGCTTATCATATACCTCACTTAGCACATGGGCAAATGTCTGCTGATCAAAGTGTTAAGTATCGGAGCCTCTCCAGTGTGCATGCCCAGTGCACCGTCTCAGGCAGGGCGTGTGCTTCCCTGGGTACAGATAGCAAGGCAGCTCATCCTTCATCTGTACTCAGGCCTCTCCACCCTGCCCTTCCCTTCTCTCCCATACTAGGTATAACATCTTCTTCCTGGGTGGGCAGCATTCCTTCCATGATGGAAAGATAGGCACACTCAAGTTCTTTTCCAACTGTAATTCAAGCGTAAAGTGCTATGTCCATTAAGTTTTATTACAAAAATGTGCTTTTGTAAACTCATAACTCACCCCGAAAGAAGAAAACGCCCCTGTGCTGCGGCCGCCACGTTCTGCTGTGACTTCTGCTTTTCTTTGGCTGTTGTTCTTTACTGTGCCTTTGGACATTGGAAAACAAGTCTCCTTTTCCATACATGAGTTCCAGAAAAGGTAAATTAAGAGGTATGAAAGGTCATTAAGAGTACAGAAAAGAAGCCAACTGTGATGCACATTCTTTATCCCAGCACTGGGAAGGCAGAGACAGGTTGTCTCCATTAGGCGGATTTCTGTGAGGTCAAGGCCAACCTGGTCTACATAGTGAATTCTAGCCAGGTCTACACCTTGAGACCCATTTTCCAAAACATCCAACCAACCAATCAACCAACCAGGAGTATAGAAAAGCTACAGGGTACAGGCATTGCGCATTTGGTCCCTCATGCAGTTTTACTAAGTCCTCCTAAAACGTGTTTGGGGACCACTAGCTGGTATGAGGAGGGGTGCTAAGGATCAGACGGATGCTGGAGCACTAGATTCGTGGAGCAAGCCCCATTCTCTGCTCCTGGGATCAATCTGTCTCACAAAGTGGTAGAAAAGGAACTGGGAAGTGTTGAGCCAGGGCATGCATTGAAGGAGAATCTGAAAGCTTGCTAATTCTTCCTCTCACATGATTGACAGGAATAGAAGCAAATGCCTGTCAGTGGGTCCCAACCTTTCTGTTCCCAGGACCCTTATCAATATTTATGGTGTCAGAAATTTAAAATAAGAGATGCAAGAAATATTTACTAATTTTTTAAAATAGTAAATTTCTGTCATTTGTTAACATAAATGTTTTTATGAACAATAACTCTAGTTTCCAAACCCTCAAACAAATATGTTAAAAAGGGAGGAATTGTTATTCTAACCTAGACAGGTTAGATTAGGATTCATCTAGGTATAATGGGCTAGGTCTCTGGGCAAAGGCAAAGCTTTATCAGCTTTGTCCTTCATCCTGGGCTTTGTGAGCTGCTAGGGAAACTGAGAGACAACAGTCTTCTTTCTGCTTACTCAAGGGAGGGCCCAGTCACCGTCATGGGCAGACTGATTTCCGCATTTGTGTCTTTGGGGTATGTGTGCCTGTGAGCGCACTTGTAAGTATTTGCAGGTGTGCATGTGGGTGGGCGTACACATGGAGGCCATAGAATGATGATGTCAGGTGTCTTCCTCAGTCAGTCTCCACCTTATTTCTTGAGACATAACCTCTCACTGAACCTGGAGCTCACCGATTCAGCTATGCTGGCTGGGCAGGGGACTCCAGTGATCTGCCTGTCTCAGCTTTCCTAGTGTTGGGACTACAGGCATGCCAGGGTTTTTATATGGGTGCTGGGGTCTAAACATTGGCCCTTACGCTTACATGGCAAACACTGTAGTGACCGAGACATGTCTCCAGACCTATTTATGCAACAAGAAGACATGTCTGGGAAAAGTTATTTTCATTCAAATTTCCTTCCACTTGATAGCATTTAAAGAAGATTCCTTGCATTTTATTATTCATAGTCAATTAGAGTTAACTTTCTATACTATATGTGTTGGACAGTTGGAAAATCCTAAGTCCAAATCCTAGCAGTTGTTTCCAATTGAGCCTTCAAATCCTAGCAGTTGATTCCAAGAACTGTGTGGTCTACAGAGCTCTGTAGGAAGTATTTGTTATCTTTGACATTTCTGTCCACCCCCATCTTTCTCACACTCCTCATGGCCTTGACTCCCTTTCTCTGTCCTTTATATTGACTCATTTAATTTTTTACCTGCCCAGTATTTCAAGGCAATGATGTATCAGAAGTGCTACTTCGAACTTAGCTTGTGATAGGTGCAGAAGTCTCTATCACCAGGGAGACACATGTGTCCAGAGTCATAGAGCATCACACCCTTGATCAAAGTGTGACTATCGCAAGTCATCCCAAGGTCACTGACACAGGGGCAAAGATGATCTTTTATTTCTAAGGGCGTGTCACCTGTCTGTGATTGGCAGAGTGGAAATCACTCCATATACTCTGGATGATGATGCTAGCTAAATAAGGAGGCAGTAGGATGCCTTCATTTTTAGGTATCAGACTACTTACAGAGGTTTTTTATTTTAGCTATGTACCTCACTTGAAATATACACAAATGTGTTTTACTCCTCCCGTCGCTTTAATTTGAAAGAATTATTGCTCCTGAGCTCTGTCTTTGGGAGCACAGGCCATAGGCTATGATCCCTTTCTCTGTGAGGCTAGGATTTCCATTCACCAGGGTGTGTGGGTTGGAAGGCAAGTTCTTCTATCGGTGATGTCTCATGGAGAGGCAGGTTTCTTTAATTCAGCTGTCCCCACAATGGATGTTGGGACATTCATGTTTCAAGCGTTCTAGGCTGTGATTGTTAGGACTGTCTTGACCTGAGTTCTGACTGCTGAGCAGAGATATACCACCATGAGAGGAAGGTGGGAACAGCTTGGGCCCAATTCTAAGTTTTTGACTCCCACTGTACCTACTGAACCCCAATGATAAAGTAGTGGAGAAAATGTGTTCTGTAAATTTGTCACTACAGCTGGCCCTTTGTATCTGGGGGTTACGAGTCTCAACTTCAACAGCCACCAGTTAAAATTTTTGGAAAAAAAAAAGGTACCTGTACTGGACATGGACTTCTTTTTTCCTATTATTTTTCTGAAAACAACATAGTATACAGTTATTTACCTAGCATATGAAGTATGTAGGCATTACACTCTAGAGATGACTTTAAAGTACACCTGAGGACATGCAGAGATTATATGCAAATTCTGCACCAATTTACATAAGGGACCTGAACATGCATGACTTTCCATAATTGCAGGGATCCTGGAACCAATCCCCTATAGAGACCAAAGGTACACTCAAAGGGAATTTGGTCTGTGGATTCGCTTTATATTGAAACACTTGCTACACTGCTCATTTTTCCCTTTTCTTCCCTGACTTACCTTTTCCTTCTCTGATCTTTACCTTTCCTCCTTTGGCCACACCTCCTGTATGTTTCCATTCACGTTTTCCCTCCTTTTCCTGCACCCTGCTACCTAAAGCTTGCCTCATTTCCCCATATGTTATGCACTGTCTTACCTGTGAGAATATAAGTCATAGGACCAGTAGGACAGATAGTAGAAGGTTAAATACTGATATTCTGACTCTTGTCAGCATCTGAGCCAACCAATGCCTGTGAATCTAGGAACCTCATGCAAACTTAGGCTTCACAGTATGATACAGGTGATGGTTGAAGCTTCTCTGTCATAGTGCCCAAGCAGATCCATTTGCTTGTGTTTTAGAGACTTGATTTGGTGTTAAGAAGCTTTCTCCACAGTATCACCATTGGACCCTGCTGTGCTTAGAGATGGCTCATCTAATGACCTGTTTCTTGATGCTTTGTTTGCAGCTGTCTGTGAAAGTGGATGTCAAAATGGTGGGCGGTGCATCGGCCCCAACCGCTGTGCTTGTGTTTATGGATTCACTGGGCCACAGTGTGAAAGAGGTAAGAAGGTAGCAGAGATTTGAGAACCGTACTTAAGAAGGTTTATTCTATATTATAAATACATATATATTGTTATGCAGTAGAAATTCTTTTAATGAAATAGCCTTTATTCTTTTATTCTGCCAATAGCTTGAATGGCAAGACTATGGGGCATGAATCACAGCAGCAGAAGAGGCCCAGTAGTTTTCACTAGTGACCGCCAGCTCAGAAGCCGTAGCTCTATGGTGATATTGACTGCCTGCCTGATGGCAAACTCTTGTAGTGGACTCTATATTATAGGCACTGTTGGGATTACTGCCTCTGCTGTTGAAAAAAATAGAAGGATGTTGTTGTCTGAAAACCCTTCAAAACCCAAATAAAGAAATGTGCTGCATTCCATAAAACAAGTCCAGAGCTGCTGGGCTTCAGGTCAGATGTGATCAAGGCTTTCACTGTGTTACTCCATCTCTCTCTGCTCTGCTCTCCTGTTTGTTTCTGTTTGGATTTACTCTGGAGACTCTTGTGATTCAGTGTGTGTCAGCTCTTACTGTGGCAACAGTAACACGCTTCCTTATCCCATCTGTAGAGAGAAAGCCTGTCCTCTATTATTAATCAGTAACAGTATCCAGAGATATTTCCTGCTGGTTGAGTCAAACTTGGGTGCTTTAAAATAATCTGTGACAAGGAGTAAGTGTTACTACGTGGTATGTGGACTTAGCACTCGTTCCTGCAGCATCAGAAGATGTGAGCTTCACCACAGTGATGTGCAAAGGGTGGCTGGGATCTGAACCCAGCAGAGCTTCCTTTGGGCAAGATGAAAAGGTTGAAGGAATGTATGCTCTAGGTGAGTGTCCTGAACTGTCTACTTTATCCATGCAAACAGTCAGTAAAGCCAATATGAAACCAGTGTACCAAGATTTCAATAGCAATTAAACAGCGCATACCCTATCAGCATCTGAAAACATCCAGTACTGCTGCACTAAGTAACTTAGTTATTATATCCTAATAGCAGGTGTTACTATAACATACTAAAAAAGTTAAGCCATAGAAATAAAAATAAGTTTAAACAAAAGATAATATTACATTATCATTTGTTGTTATACACACACACAGACACACACACACACACACACACACATGAAAACCACATCTAAAGTAACTCCTTGGACAAGTAGAGTACATGGAGTTATATCAGTGAAATATTGCAGACATATTTGTATGGAGCCTTTGAGTTGGAAAGAGACTTGTTCTAAGACTTATGCTCATTAGCCACCTGAAACTTTGTCTGTGTATTCAGACATGAATATTGGCATTCTGATAAAGCAGGCTTGCTTTCCTAGCTACTTTTCTTGAGAATACATTGAGAAGTTAAAATCGCATGGTTAAATTTGGGAGGAAAGATATATGCTGACGTTTAACATATAAGTCTTGGTATATAGACACATCAAGATTTTATACTTTTCTGAATGTAGTTTAAATTCCCTAAGGCTAGAGGACATTCACAAATGACAGAGCTTATCATTGTTCTTAAAGTGAATTTTTGAAGTCTTTACCAGATGTTCTTTTTCGGGGAAGGAAAACTGAGAAATGTTAGCATAAAAAAATGAATTGTTGAGGATGGAATTGCACCAGTTTCTTAGAATCACATCAGGTTAGGATGGAGGGTAGTAGACTTAAAATTCAAGCATAATCCTAACTGGAGGAGACCATGTTCATTCCTTTGTGCAGTTCATCTAAGCTTTGCAGCCCTTTGGTTCTGAAGCGGATTTCAAGTTCAGTTCCTAATTGGCTGAGGAATATTGGCATTGGTGGGTAGGTGCAACTCAGCTTCCAGCATTATGTCGTTATTCCTCAACAGGTGCTCATTCATCAGATTTGCTGATCTTTACTCAATTTATAGGACTCCAATAAAGAATTACATACATTGCACATGTACAGTAGGATGTTTTCAGAAGAAATCGTAAAATTAGTTAATGAATTAACCTTCAGGACACTTTTTAAAACCTCAGTTTGTTTAAGTGTTTCTTATTGCTGCCCCTCAGTCATGAAAGTTCTAAAATCTCATTTCTTCCAGAGAAGCTGTTAGCAGTTTCCACTCTTTGATTACAACCATGAACTTGCTCATGACTGAGTTTTTAGATGTATATAATAAGTAATTTTCATAAAACTAGACTTTGTAATTTGTCTTAAGGACTGTTGAATCTACATACGTGGAAGGAGAATGATTCTTTTATGTTGAGTTTAGCAGTAGGCTAATCCACCCTGTTAATATTTAAAGTTCATGTTTTCATCCAGTTGCTGAATTTCAAAATACATGTTCTTTATTTTAGAAGGAAAAAAGAGCTTCATAAAATTGAGGATATTTTCCATCCTTAACATAGAATACATATAATTTTCCTTTCCACTGGCTTCCTGGGATCAGAGGCCGATAAAGCAAGCCTACTGCTGCGGTTATCTGGGTTCTGGCAGACTGGTTTCTGAACTGGAGGTAGTGACAGTGGTAGCTGACGACTGGCATGATGATTGTACTTATCGTGAGTCTTTGGAGCTGGGTGAGCTGAAACTCTTTGGTGGCTCATCACTCTTGCTGGTACATACAAAGAGCTTTTATAGTTAGCAATAAAGAGAGAAATCTGATGGTGACATGCTGACTGTAAAATGCAGACAGCCCAGCCCAAAGCCCATGAAAGTATCCAATTCTTTGTTGCTTCTTTCTACAAACAGATGAAAGTGTTGTAGCTCCTGTACACCGGAGAAAAACCAGAAACAGAGTCAGCATTATGTACCAAGACTTGATATTTTTCCCCATGATGCCTAAAAGTGAACCTTACTACTTATCAAAAGAAATTTAGAGGAGACAAGCTGGAAATAATTGAGTTTACCTAAGGGATTTTTGGACAAAATTAAGTGATTAATCACCAGTGTGATCAGCCACAGTCCTTTTAAAAAAATTCTTTGACTTAAATGAACACTAACTTCATGACTGAATTTTTCTGTGAAGACCGTGTATGAGAAATATATCACAGACTGTTTCAGTTACATATAAACTGCTGCTACAGATTATATTTTTCATGTTTTCCCTAGGAAAATGTATATATTCTGTAAAATTTCAAATACTCTGAATCCTAGTGACATTTCCTTTCAAATTTACATCTTTCCAACCACCATAATAAGGTGCTTTTGAAAAAAGAGGACTGAGGATTACTTTTCAAATCCACCAATATTTTCAAGAAAAGCCCTTTTGAAAGAATGCATTTCCAAGGACAAATTGTGAGATCAAGTTGCCAGTGTTAACGTTTGTAATATAGAAACTTTCAAGCTCTAGGTACAATGACAAGGGGCTGGCTTCATGTTGGGGCAGCTTTCATAAAATCATGCAGCTGCAGAGACTTACGTCCAAAAGTGTGCCAAGGTGGAGTCCCCAGCGTCACCTGGAGCCCTGGAGCCACAGGGCTCTGAACATGCCCACCTGCCGAGGCTTCATTATCAGAGCCCTGATGGTGGAATTCTGCACCACTGTGCCACTGTTTATTCCAAGCCTTTAAAGTACTTGCACACATCCCTTCCTGTCTGGTTCAATATGAACATGATACAGCACCTTCTCCAGGAGATGCCAACACAGTCTACCATGTGGATGGGCATGATTGCAGGGTGAAGACTCCTTAGAAAGTCATGAATTACTTGCATTTTTGTTCACCCTCACATGTCAGGAGGTAAAATAATTGTGATAGCCTCTAAACCACTCAGACCTTGTCCATATTCTCTCAAACAAGATGAACACATTGAGAGTTGCCTTGAATTCTAGGAATTGTGTAGACTAAACCCTGTTTGTTTGTAAACAGGGTTTCCAAACAAGTGACTCATACACTTGATAATTGGTGTTAATTTCAAGGACTTGGAATTAACCCATGCAGGGTGGGTTTTTATAGCCTAGGGCATTTTAGTAGCACAGCATATTAGTAACATGACTAGGAATACAGGAAAGTTTGGTGAAGAGAACAAACAAATGTCTAAGCAATATGTTTTATTAAACTATATATTATGCTTTTATATACAAAATATATGTATATTAGAAAATAATTTAGAAAATAAAACAATATAAAAGAAGAAATTGCATTATGCATAATTCTTGGCTCAGAATTAGTTACTGTTGCTGCCTTTGAGAATATAGTTTGAGTCCTTTTATCCCTACTACACATGAAGTATTTTGACAGAATGAGATCTTGCCATTCTTATTAGAATTGACTCTTCTGTAATATGAAATATACTTGCATTCCCCCTCTCCTTTGATATTGTTAGATCTGTTACAGGCTGTGGTATTTGCACTGTACCCTTTAGTTACTGGAAAGTAAGGGATGTGCGTTCTCTACACCAAGCCTCAGACATTGCGAAGCTGCTTCCCAGTCTCTCAGACAAGGAAGTTTTGCCTGGGTCAGACCTGTAGCACTGTGACTGAAAGGAAGAATGGGACAGCATGCAGTCTGATTCAGGACCTCAGCCTTGATGACTGCACCATATCCGTCTGCCCAAACTGAATTTCCTGCCAGTTCACACCTAGGGTCTTTTTGAGTTTACTTTTTTGTTTGCTTTGTTGTTTTGTTTTTGATACAGCTATGTGTGATTAAAATGTCTGCACGTAAATCTGTATTCTGGACTGTACTCTTAGACTACACGCTATAAGAGTGATTATGGAGTCACTGGATGCATGAGAACAGCCAAGAATTCGCTCTGCTTGGTTCATTTCTCTAGAAGAGCTGAGACTTTACTCTCCTTGGCTCATTTCCCTCCAGAAGAGCTTCTTTCACGTATTACTTTCATATTGTGCATGGAAAGTCCTTTCTCATTCTCAAATCTTATAAATTTCTATCTTTTCATGTTTTTGGTATTTTATTTATTTTTATCTTTTCAACCCTAAATTAAAATATTTAGCTAAAGTACATTTATTTATGAATATCTCATGTTTATTCACTCAAGTATTTGCTAAGAACTTACTAAGTACTTGGGACTCTAGTTATCAAAAC